TTACGTTAACCTTGATTAGTTGAGGTTATGCATGGGCAATGATATTCACGAATTTGCGTGTTTGTTGGATTTAAAGTGCGGAGTTAGAGCCCTTATATAAAACTACTTTCCACTTCTTTTTTCATAGGATCATCTACGGATTGATATCCGCATTAAGTAATTATATCCCATTTTTTCCCAACTTTTCCAAGCAGGAGGAGACATGAAGATAAGTAAGAAACAGAGATCACCTTTTATGATGGTTTTACCTTTTTCAGGAAATCAATTCTGCAAGTGTTCCTCGGAAAGCCCATCGAGAAGTGAGAAAAAATGAAGCAACCATCTTGTCTGCCGATCAGTCTCCTTCTTGCGTTTTAGCCTGCGCCTTGTAAGATTACCTTTGTATGTTATACTTATTACATTTAATGAAAATTTTTAGGCTAAAGGAAGTCCAGTAGCTTTCCATGTTCATCGAAACATTTTGAAGACACCTTGATGGTCTAAGTTATTTATTTATCGGCTAAAATCAGCTGTTTCTTAAAAAAAAGTTCAGAAATATTTGTAAATGTTTCACGATTAAAGAACGAGTGTGGATATGAGTAGCCTATAGGTCAGCCATGTCAGTTTTGTTTCAGCAATCTTTTTTATAGACCACAGAAATTGAATGATGTCACCCTTGTCGTCTCCATAACCCAACAACACAATCGATGTATGTTGAATTATATACATTTAAGTGATAAATTGGCTTCAGTACTGACTCAAGCCCAACTGACTCACTCTAATTTCATTACGCAAAAGGTTCGAAATTGTTGTATTTTTTTTAACAGCTTATGAACAAGAGGCAACTTCTATTGAAGATATTAACTGCGAGACGGCTCAAATATCGAGTTTACACTCCTCATCCCTGATCGCGATCAGTGGAGTGACGCGGATGAAGCCGTATGGGAGTTGAAACATGACGGAGGAGCTCCGAACTCAGACTGTCAGCCATCATTTGCTGAAGCAAACAAAGTGAAATATGGTCCGTTCGAAACCAGTGATTGCAAGACCTCGTTGACAGAGAGCGCCAACGGAAATAATTTGGACTACGTGTTTCAGATCCAAGTTAATGCTACTGGTAGTCC